TGTTTTGTTTTGTTTTGTTTTGTTTTGTTTTGTTTTGTTTTGTTTTGGGTTGGGTTGGGTTGGTTTGGTTTGGGTTGGTTTGGTTTGGTTCAGGGTGTCAGGGGTGGTTTTACTAAAAACAAACAACACAAATCAAAACAAAAGCTACCGTAGCTTTGTGAATACATTTTATATACAGAGAACTGTAGAGAGTCTTGAAATTTTTGATGTGAGAAAAAAAGAAGAAAAAGAAAAACACTCTGGTGGGAACACAAAACAGCACAGAGAACACATAATCATGATCTTCATAATTGAGATTGTCATGTGTCTTATTAAAAGCCATCATTTACCTAGATGTCTTGCTTGATAAAGACAGTGAGATGCCTTACAGATTTTACATAAACATGTCTTTCAAAGCCTTGCTGATCTATTTTCTTGTGTATGATGTTTGGTTGGGTCCTTCAAAGGGCTTCAAGGGTTACTTTTATATTTACAAAGACTGAAGATGAAAGCTGTTATTTGAATGCAGCTTTGCATTCAGTGGTACCAAGATGCTTATTAGAAGTGCCCTGATGAGACCAGGGAGCGGCTCCTGCGCATCACTCTCCTCTAGTGTGTACTTAGGTGCTCTGGCTGCCGAAGAAGCAGCTTAGCTTTAATGAAAGGATAGTAAACAACATAAATTATAAAAGACATCTGCTAAGGAGAGCAAGAAAAGGGGGAATAAAAGGAGAAAGGGAATGAGGAAAGAGGGGGAGAGAGAGAAAAGAGGGGAGAATACAGATGTTGGAGTGTGTGTACATGGAGGCATTGGGCAAAAACAGAGAGGAAAGTCGGACAGGTAGAGAACAAAGTGTTTCCAGGGACCTCAAAGAAATGATGAACCTTAATTACAGCCTAATTTTAGGGTACATGGAACCAACCTCTTCAAGTTCTTCAGGGACATGCACGTTGCTGCAGTTCCTACTGGATTGTCATTGAACAAGTAGATGGGGCTGCCTTCATTCTCCTTCATAGGAATTTTTGGTCCTTGAGTCCAGAGCCTATGCAAAACAAACAAACAAACAAAAGACCTTCTCTTGAACTCGGGCAAATTATCAAAAGCTCTTTCTTACCCTTCTATGGGGATGACTTCCTCTCCAACAGTCCATAAGGATGGCTAGCTTTGACCATCATATACTTTGCTAGCCTTATGATTAATTTTAGCATCAGAGAAGTTCCCAATTTGCATAAACACACCTTTTCAGTAACAAGAGTCCCTGTTAAAGGTAAGCTAACAATTTTAGCTACCTCCAGACTATGATTTAATTATGAATATTCCTTTCCACAGAAAACTAATCTTGTGTATTTCCCATCCATAATGTACTAAAATACAGTATCTAAAATATTTTAAATGCTTCAATTATCAGTGAAACCTACCTGCACTCTAAAATATCTTAAATATATAGTTTTGTGTTTTATCATCTCATTTCTCTGAAGAGTTAGCTTACCTAGTGACATCATGCTATTTCTATAGCATTCTTTCAGCCTGTGATCACTATTGAAATTTTAAGTTCTCAGGAAAGAAATATTGCAATTCAGTAATGTAATTTGAATGTAAAAGTACTTCCTTTCAATATTGAATTGGAAAATTTTAGCAAACTAGAAAAAAAGGAAAAAGAAATAAATAATGCCTCATCCCCCCAAATTATTGTTTCTTGTTGCTAATTACTAATTTTCTTAGGTAGCTCATTGTGTATTTTTTCTTTAAATGTAGTTCTCTTATTTTTATTTCCAAAGACTGTGGCTGTGGCGGTCAAACTTCAGACCTCACAAAGCCTATCCTTTTCTTGGGATGGTTTCCTTTCACTGTCTTTTGGAGCTGAGCTCTGGGAGGCCTCTTAGAATCCAGCTAAGGAGGGAAGAACGACCCTGTTGGCTGGCACTATGAGTCAGGGTACTAACCCCTCCACATGTCCTCCTGCCAGAGGCTCCCCGGGTGGGGAGGAGCTGAAGAGGCCTGTTTTCTAGCTGAAAGTTTCCCATCATGCCATTCCCCTTCAGCCTGTGTCACTTAAGGATTCCGTTACATTTAAAAGAATAGTGCTCAAGGGCAGACAGAGAAAGTCAACAGGGCTGAGTAAACATGGAGTGTACACTTTAAGAAATTTTTAAGTAGAGTATTGCACTTCATATTATCGAACGTTGAAATAGTGTGAGAGGAACACACACCCATCCGAACTGCAGTGGTGCCCATGTGGAGCCCTGGACTGCCTTATGCCACTGAATGCACGGGAGAGACATCGAGCCGCTTAGCATACTGCATGTTTAAGTTTTTAAAACAATAAATATCTCCTTTCCTCTCAGCACATACATCTGCATTTAGAGCAGAAGGTTTCCTCCAGGGATTGATCTCTAAAACTGAGCTTCGACTTGCAGAATTCTTTATATTCCAGGCAGGAGACCTGAGATGGCATCAAAGGAAGATTGCGACGTGGCTAAATTGAGAATAAAAGTTATGCTTCCAACCGAGCTGGCGTCTGTCTCCCACAGGCATGCTGATGTTTTCAGTCCCCTTTAGGTGGGGCATTTTAACACCACATATGAAGTATCAATTTTGTTGACTTATATTAGTAGTACCTTTTAAGATGGTAAAATCCTTCCAAGTTGATCATAATAGGTAGTCTAAAATGGTGTGTGTGTGTGTGTGTGTGTGTGTGTGTGTGTGTGTGAATAAAGAGTTTATATAAAACAGTTATACAGTTACCTAATAGCCTCAGTATCCTCTACAATACCACTTTTTTAATTCTAAAGTGTTTTGTAGTGCCTCTCTGCCTCCCTCCTCCCCTCTCTCCCCTCTCTCCCCTCTCCCCCTTCTCTCTCTCTCTCTCTCTCTCTCTCTCTCTCTCTCTCTCTCTCTCTCTTTCTTTCCTACCCTGACGTTTCTAGAAGCTAAAGAAATTTAAGAATTGCGGGATCTTGTAAAAGGTACAGGAAAGTAAAAATTGTGTTAATTTTTTTAAAAATTTGTTATACAACTTTTAAAAAAATTAAAATATCCCCAGTGCAATTTCTTGGTCTATTACCCCTGACAGCTACTATTAATTATATTTAACCTGTTAAGGGCTCACTTTCTTAAGTATATTAAGCTAAGTTTTCTGCAAACACTGAACTCATCTGAGTAGCAGGGATGGGCTTCCAGGCAGACAGGAATAAAAGCATAACCTTGCTCAGTAGACGGCCGTTCTTTGTCTCCCAACCCCGGCCTTTGCACCTATACATTGCCTGGCATGATGGAGAGGCCAAGCAGATGGTCTTTGTGGTGGATGCCAGGGCTCTGGGCCCACGAGACAAAACCTGCCTGCTTGGCAAGGCTGAGACGCCAAGGTTTCATGTGTAATAAAGTACTCGCTCCCTCTCCAGTAATGATATCCTGGGGCTGCTGAGGGGAGATTCTTTTCACTAGAAACATACTCATAGGAATTTAATACTATCTTGCTAAACCCTTTGATTCAATAAGATTTTAATTAAAAAAAAAATCTTCTTACTTTGTAGACTCTAGGAAGTGAGCAAGTATCAATTCTTACTCTCTAATCAATATCTCTACTAAGCCCAAGATTCTTTTGCCTTCTTAACCACGTGCTTCAACAAATAAAATATCTTCCCACTGCCTGTCGTTTTTTTACAGCCTGAAACACTTTTAAGTTAAATAATATTTGTTAGGCTTTGATGCAATCAAGTGAAATTTGAGCCTTCAGAGTGATTCAGCCCCGCCTCTTGGAGACCGAACATATGTGTCAGCTTTCAGTTTTTCTCACCAGTGTTTTACACATGAAATCTATTTTTCCTTGAGAAAATGGAATCTTGGTGTCTTTGTCTGGAAGGCGTGCTGTGCTCAGGCGTGTTCTGGCAGGAGCTGTGACTGCCAGGGCTCTGGGGGAGGGGCCTGGCAGTCATTTGTCAGCTGTCCTGCATCTGTAATTTTTGGCCACTCAGCACTATCAGAGAGTCTTAGAAAGGGAGCACGAATGGTGGGGAAGAGAGCTTGTCATTGATGAAAGACAAACCCCGAATAACTGCCTGATGTTGATGACCGAAGGGAAGACAGAGTATGAAAAACTTTTATTGTGTGCTTTAATGAATAGGATTTTATTTGAAATGGCTAATTTATGAAATTGCACACGGTAACACTTTCAGACCTCAGTCTAGAAAGGCCCTGTCCATATTGTGTTACCAATTTCACTGCTTTTACCTTGGCAAGGGCTCCTGAAAGTATTTTAATTTTCCGCCATTGGCTTCTGGTTATTTCTGCTCTTATGCCCTTGTAACAAAACTGACAGCACAATTAAACATCTGCATTTTAAAACTGGATTTTCTCCCCTGACTATTTTGCTTTTCTTCTAAAATTTCCAGATGTTTTGGGTTCTTTATGATTTTAATGTATGCAAATATATTTGCTTATATTTTAGAGACTGATGGAGAGGGAGCAGAGGGAGGGGAGGGAGAAGAGAGACAAAGACAGAGACACAGGGAGACTGAGAGACAGAGACAGAGACAGAAAGACACAGAGACAGAGCGGCAGAGAGACACAGAGAGACAACACAGAGATACAGAGACAGATACACAGTGAAGCAGAGAGACACACTGAGACAAAACAGAGTATATACTAGCATGGACTGAGCAGATGTTTCTATAAGAAAAGCTTTGTAATAATATATCAAGCATCCAATCAGTATTTTTCCTTGTCTGTAGACTTACATTAGAATACATTTTGTCTCTTAACACTTTACTATTTTAATTGAATTTTGCAACTCAGTTTTGTGACTAGGTTCAGAATTCACATCTTGATGTCTCATTTAACTGAGTAGAAGCTTTCTACCCTTACTGTCTTTTCATTTCAGGGAGAGATAAGTTGAGGGGTAGAAGAAACAATGTATTTCAAACGACCATTTGTGGAACTTAAGGATATTGTTAGTATCTTGCGTGAAGTGTTTGAACAAGAGTTACAAGAGTGTCCCTAACATTTTAAGAAAATACAGTTCCCATAATTAATAGCAGGAAGCTCTTGAATACAAATAAATCCCAAACAGTAACATAAAAGAAAACAAACAAAGAAGCAAAAGCAGCCTTTGGTACCCAAGTGGTTCAGACCAGAAATACTTATGAGATATGTGCTCACATAATCCTTGGGAGTAGATGAATATCCATTTTCCATTCCTGACTGTCCAAACACATGCTTGGGAGAGTGCAGCCATTTCTCCCCTAGTCTAATTTCTGCAAGTGATCTCAGGCAACTGACATAGTTAATAGTTAGGCAGAAAAATGGCAAGGAATTATGAAGGAAGACAATGTATTTTAAAAGTATTATTTTAATATTTTTAAGATCCGTTTTTACTGTACCCTCTGGGAGATGAAAATACCTAGTAAGGGAATTGGTGTACATGTAAGGTGTTTGGGGAAGTGGATGAGTAGAATTATGAGTCTCAAACTAAATGCATCATTAATTAGACAGATAACAGGGCAGGGCGATTGACCCACTTCTGCACAGAGCTCTGGGCTAAGCTCTCTGAGAACTGACAGGTCTTTATCTTCTAATTGTATCAAAAAATGGGGACTGTCTGATTCCAGTCCTGACCTTGAAAGCAGCAAACGGAAGTGATGGATGGTGTCCCTGTTTTCTTTTTAGAAATGCTGAATTCATTCTCAAAGTTTGAAACTTCAAAAGCAGAATTAGCTGCTTTAGTTTATATTGAATTTTTATAGTGAATTGTTTCCTCTCTTAATGGGAAAAAGCCTGTGAGAGAAAGGCAACTGCTCTCAAAAGGTTAAATATAAGACTCAGCCCAATTAAAAGTGTATTATTCCTACATCTGTAAGATGAGCAGGAAAAGAAGGGAAGCTAGCAAAAGTAAGGATCAGTTTCATTTATTAAGTCCGTGTATTGTAAGTGAAAATGCATGTTGGCCATTATATCAGAGCAAAACACATCTCCACGGTACCACAGAGCTACAGCCATGTGCTTTGCTGGTTGCTCCCAGCAAACCAGGCCTTAGCTCCAGAAAGA